CTTATCCCGATAATGGCCCTCCCAGGCCTGCACCTCCTAGGGTTCTGGTTATAGGATTCTGGTTATAGGGTTCTGGCTCTAGGGTTCTGGTTATAGGGTTCTGGCTCTAGGGTTCTGGTTCTAGGGTTCTGGCCCTAGCGTTCCCCTTCTAGGGTTCTCTCTAGGGTTTCTGGTTTAATTTTGCTTGGCTGAGGTTTGTGATCAAGGGTTGTAGGGTTCTCTCCCCCGGCAAGGCCTGGCAGCCCTGGCAAGGCCTGGCAGCCCGGCAAGGCCTGCAGCAACTAAAGGTTCGCCCTGGCAAGGCCTTGGCGGCCCTGGCAAGGGCAAGGCCTGGCAGTTCTGGCAAGGACTGGCCGCCGCCCTGGCAAGGCCTGGCAGCTCTGGCAAGGCCTGGCAGCCTATCCTCGACTAGCCTCCCCTGGTGTCTGTCTTGCGGCTCAGAAAAGGACTCTGGACGTGTACCCTTGTGATGATGCCTGCATTACATTTTTTAACGATAATGGTGATCTGGCTGCGTTAAAGTTATATACAACTNNAATATTTTCTGAATGTTGGGGGACCCAATGGGCGGGTGGGTATTTCTCTGATACTTAGAACAGCTGCTCTCGGAATGAATGCTTGAACTTGAGATGCTGAACCCTAAACCCTAAACCCTAAATCCTTCAAGCCAGCCACGCCCTCAACGGCAGCGAAGGCTACGATCCTCTCGGCAAAGCTGGCCTCCCCTCAGCGGGTTTTAGGGTTTAGGGTTTAGGAGTTTAGGGTTTAGGGGTTCAAAGTTTAGGAGTTTAGGGTTTAGGGTTGATCTAGACTATGTCCCCTACTAAGGGTTAATGGAAAAGAACATGGAAACTACTATATTATAGGGTTCTATAGGGAATATATGGGGTTAAAGGTTTAGGGTATAGGGGACTTAGGACCCCTACTAAGGGTACACCCTTAGGTACCTCTAGTAGGAGTATAAGGCATTTCCAAAGGGCCAAGTGTCTAAGGTCCAAGCTAAGTCCCAAGAACTAAATTGCTGTTTGGTTTAGAGTTTAGGGTTGAGGGGTTTAAGGATTTCTTGTAGATAAGGGAGGAGTGAAGACGAGAATGACACGGAAACGGATCCTAAACCCTGAGTTTAAGCCACCAGGCGAATTAGCTGCTTCTTGCTGGGAAATGGCGGAATGGATGCCCCATTGGGATGCCTTATTGCAGAGACCTATATGCTGCATAATGCCCAGCCCATGCAGAGGACAACTCATGTATTAGGCACTATACTTTAGGAGGACCCCCCACCCTGTAATAGTGGTATAATCAGAATATAAGAGGAGTTGTTTAATATAATCCCTACCCCCCACCCTGTAGTGGTGGTAGAATAAGAATATACGAGGACCCT